TTTTCCAGTCAACGGGCTCACTATTGTAGGAAGTATGAATGTTACGTGGTCTGGCCATCCCAATGTCTCCCAAATGCGCTGTACATCCCTCGCGATGATGCTAGGGCTGCAGGCTAACGGAAGCCAAACGACAAACGACGGGCCTCTAACCTAAACCCGAAACCTTAAACCCGAAACCCTAAACCCCAAAACCCGAAACCCTAAACCCGAAACCCTAAACCCTAAACCCTAAACCCTAAACCCTAAACCCTAAACCCTAAACCCTAAACCCTAAACCCTAAACCCTAAACCCTAAACCCTAAACCCTAAACCCTAAACCGCAGCCGCCAGGAAATGTTCGTTCGAATGATATGGCCACGGCGGCTCGTCATCACCACAGGCGCTCACTGGTCTCCGATAGCCTGCCCTCTCCGTTGTTGGAGGGCTTAGAGCCTAGGGCTTAGGGTGCAGGGTTTAGGGTTTAGGGCTTAGGGTTTAGGGTTTAGGGTTTAGTTTCAGGGCATTTTGTGAACGGCTTCCCAATACCATCATAAATTTTACAGGCGTTCGAAGCTACTATGTGAAGGAAGTGGGTACTAGCTGCAGTGCAAGCACGAACTCAATTACAAAAACAGAGTCTCACATGCAGATTAAGGAACAACGACAAATGGTTTCACTTCATTGGCCTGCTCTACCCTAAACCCTAAACCCTAAACCCTAAACCCTAAACCCTAAACCCTAAACCCTAGGGTCTTTTTGGCTTCAGGCTGTGTTGATTTAACACTCGAATGGTGTGCAAGTTGACCCCCCCCCCCCCCCCCCCCCCCAATTCCAAGCTCCCAAATCAAGAAACCTACAACCTCCACACCCTGAAGTCCAAACTCCTGTAGACTGTAGGCCCAACGCCTGGGAATTTGTCCTAAGCGCCACGGTCGTTAATCGTGGTTTGTTGGACCCCATTGGAGCTGCATGATTCAGTTCTCAGAGGAACAACCTAGACAGCACCCAAAGGGACTCGTGTCTAGGGACTTAGGGTTTGAGAGCAAAATCTTTGCGATGGGCCTCGAGGAACATTAGGAGTCGATGCTTGGAGGCGGGGACATAGGGGTGAGACGTCAAACTGAGTTAAGGGTCTAGAACTTAGGGAAAGCTGTTGCCCTTTCCACTAAGGATCAAGTCGTGCTGCTTGTCTGAAATCATGCCCCTGTGTGCTGCAAGCTCTTAGCCCAAAACCCCACTACTGTCCGACTTCTGGAAACCTAAATCCTACACCCTAAACCCTAAGACCCTAAACCCTAAGCCCTAAACCCTCAACCCTAAATCCTAAACCCCTTCTAAGCCCACAATCAACCTTGAACCCTGACTCCTGCAAGTGCTGGAGCACCTTTTTAAAGCAAACCTCGGCCGTGCCAACATTCCGTGCATGACTGCTCCCAAATACATAACCCAGAGGGTCCATTAGATTTTGGCTGCCTCTTAGACTCCCCAGAACTTCCAAAACCCTAAATTAGGGAATATACCTTACCCAGAACTTCCAAAACCCTTAATTAGGGAATATACCTTACTCTATACTAAGGATCTTGATTATGAATCAGGGTAGATTCGGTAGTTTAGGGGTTTTTCGAAGATCTGGGCTTGAATCCGGGAGTTCGAAGAGCCCTTGAAGAGTCTCAGGGGATCGACATCTACTTCCGCAGTACTCGTTTTAGGAACCGGTAAGTAGCAGACTTGTTACTTCGACTGCAAGGCTTTTGCTGCAAAGCCCTAAGCCCCACTGAGTTGACTTGAAGTACGTCCTCGGCTCCTTCCGGCGCTTCTTCGCTCAGGCGTTTGTGGGGAACTCCCGAAACCCTAGACCCTAAAACCCTAAAACCCTAAAACCCTAAAACCCTAAAACCCTAAAACCCTAAAACCCTAAAACCCTAAAACCCTAAAACCCTAAAACCCTAAAACCCTAAGACCCCAAACCCTAAACCCTCCTTCCCCCAAGTGTCCACCTCTCCCCTGTTGTCAGACTTGAAGTGCGCTGGAAGTCTTGGCCTCCGTGAGCCTCCAAACCCCAAAGCCCCTGAAGCCCTCCGAAGCCCGACAACTTGCCTCAGAGACTCCAAAGAAATTGAGGGGTTAGGGTTTAGGGTTTTGGGTTTAGGGTCTAGGGTTTAGGGTTTAGGGAAATTCTCGGTAGACCCTTTCGAGAGATTTGACATTTTCCCTTATTGGGTGTAAGAGGGTCATATTCAGCAATGCTCTTCAGAGGGTTTTAAGGGGCATCCTAGAATTGAGGGTCTAGGGTGTAGGGCTTTGGGTTTTCAAATTGGACTTCGCGGAAAGAAGAGGAAGCCTTCATGAAGGGGCATCGATGTCTCTGGGCTATGTATGGGGTCGGGGGATAGTGAGGGCACGTTGACGGCCCCAGGCCCTAGAGACCACACCCTGGCTGGGATATGCGGAAGACGGAGCAAGTGGCAGAAAGAGCAGCAATCATAATCGTAATCATGGGTATAGCCATCATGAAGGAAGCAGTCACAATCGCACTCTCATAGTAATTTTGGATAAGATTCGTGGCGGCAGGAAGGGCTCAGTCGCATCCTCTGCGCCGTGACCCAGTCAAGGAAGGCTCTGGAAGTTTTGGGGGATTGCGCCAAACCCGAAACCCTTAGGATTCTTTGTGCTTAGGGCTTCCGATGTAGAGGTAGATGCCAAGGGACTTTGCCTCGGACCCTTGAGGTTGTACCCTTGGGATTTGTGGACCCTTTTTAAGATCCCTTCTGGGAATATAAGGGCCATATGAGGGCGTATATGAAGGGAACCTCTTCGGGCAAGTCTTAGGGTGGTGGTTTATCTCTGAGCGTTGTTGCGCGCGTTGTCGGGAGATATGTCGAGGGACGAGGGCGCTGGGGATTGTTGGGATCGCACGCCCAAGGTCACCTTCCGAAACCCCAACTCACTATAGGGTTCTCAAGGGAGGGGGTGCGTTCAAGGGGAGTATGTGACCCAAGCCTAAGGCTCTCTGAGCTTCCCCAAGGTTCCCTAGGTACCTACCTACCCCCCATGAACTTCCCGTCCCTTAAGGACCCTATAAACCCCCTCTCTTTTCGGACCCGCGGTTGACACACTTCGGTGCGAAAGCAAGATGCAGTCTTACTTGGTAGCCCAGTGGTGCCCTTTTGCCCATTTTTTGGTTCAAGGCCCTCTTGTGCGGTAACCAACCCCCCAAAAAAGGGGGGGATGCCTTTAATTAATACCCTAAACCCTATCATGGTTACTGAGCTACCAAGCTTGTAGGAGGCCAGGTAAGCAGCAACAACCCACCTGTACCCTTAGGAGCTGAATGAGCACACTTTACACTTTTGGGGATACGATAATCACCTATAGAACTGAAGGTGCACACTTTTTGAGGGCTTATGAACTCAGCAACTAAGAAATATATATATATATATATATATATATATATATATTTATATACAAATATATATATATATATATATATACATACAGATATATTGTGATACAATAGTACAAGACCATGTTGTACTCTTGAATCCACACCCACCTGTACCTGCCCTTTCATCAAAGCTTCCAGCAGGGCGGCGAGGCTGTGAAAGCATCGTGGCTGCACGCCAGACGATCGTAAGCCCTAAGCCCTAAACCCTAGACCCTAAACTTTGCACCTTGTAAATGCATGGTAGTCAGCAAAAGTGGCAAACAAGGTTGGGTATGAGGCCTGGGAGGCCTAAACCCTGCTCCCCTGCAAGCCATACATGGGGGTTTCCACAAATGGGGGTACCCTGGTGGGGGGAGGGGAGTTAGGGTTGAGGGTTGAGGGTTGCGGGTTGAGGGTTGAGGGGGTTGAGGGTTTAGGGTTTAGGGTTTAGAGGGGGGGGGTCCCTTTAAGGGGATTCTACCTGCCGTCCTTAGGGAACCGGCCGCCAGGATTTAGGGTTTAGGGTTTAGGGAATAGGGTTTAGGGTTTAGAAATCAGGGTTTAGGATTTAGGGTTTAGGGTACCAAGGCCCCAGGTTGTAGGGATCGCGTCGGTTGTCATTATCAGTGTGCAGCTGTTGGTACAGTGATTCTGCTGCGTGTCAGTAGGTCCCTCAGACTCCGAGCACATCCTAGCCCGATGCGTCTGGACCCCTAACCCCGAAGCCCTAAACCCGTAAATCCCCAAACCCCCAAACCCTAAGCCCCAAACCCCAAACCCCACACCCTTAGCCCTAAACCCTAAACCCTAAACCCTAAACCCTAAACCCTAAACCCTAAACCTTTCAAAGGTGGACATGCCAGCGTCGGACCTGAAGTTCCTCTTCGAGGTCCTCGACGAAGACGACGACGGCCGGCGCCCGAATGTCTTGCTTATGGCATTTAGGGTTTAGGGTTTAGGGTTTAGGGTTTAGGGTTTAGGGTTTAGGGTTTAGGGTTTAGGGTTTAGGGTTTAGGGTTTAGGGTTTAGGGTTTAGGGTTTAGGGTTAAGGGTTTACGGGTTCAGGGTTTAGAGGTTTAGGGTTTAGAGGGTTTAGAGGTTTAGGGAGCTTAAAGTTTCGGGCTGTAACTGTTTGTGTTTCTCTCTCTCTCTCTCTGTCTCTCTCTCCCTCTCTTTCTGTCTCTGTCTGGGTTTCATGTTGTGTGCCCTAAACCCTAAACGCTAAACCCTAAACGCTAGACCCTAACTCGCTGCCCCCTCTCTGCCTCTTTGGCCTCTTGGCTGGCCATCGGGGCTTTGCGGCTTGAAGTTCCGGACCTATATGAAGCAGGGTTTATATTACTGTTTTTGGTGACTGTATATAAGGTTCCTTTTCAAAATTGGTGAGTGTATACACTTGGTGTCCTTTTGGGGGTACAAGAAATATAAACCCTACTTCATATGTTTTGTTACAACCCGTATTGTGCCAATGTGCATGTCAGTCTATTTTGCTGTTGTACTGGAAATGTGCTAGTCCTGCGGTACGTAGCAGCACTTATCGCTGTCGTATAGTCTACGACTCAAGACTGCACCTATCTGTGCTATGTGTTTTCCTCCGATGCTCAGCAGACATCAAGAAGGTCAAGCTCGGGTTCCTGAAATGAAGCAGGCCCCAAAACCCTAAATCCTCCACCGGAAGCCGGAAGCCCTCTCCTAAACCCTAAACCCTAAACCCTTAACCCTAAACCCTAAACCCTAAACCCTAAACCCTAAACGACCCTGTATCTTTCCGAGGCACGCTGTCCATCCGCGAGATGGTACAGCTGGGCGCTCTGGAGGCCACAATTGCAAGTGTTCCGGGTTTAGGGTTTAGGGCCGTTTAGGGTTCAGGGTTAAGGGTTTAGGGTTTAGGGTTTGGGGTTTAGGGTTTAGGGTTTAGGGTTAAGTCCAACCTTTGAAGGGAACAATTTGGTGCCTCCTGGCTCTGGAGGGGTTTTGAGTTTTGAGGGGTCGGCTTTCGGGCTCATAGCCTTCAGATGCGTATGTTTTGGCTGCTTCGGTCCACAGCAGTTGCCTTGAATCTTGCCCCTAAACTCTTAAGCCCTGAGCGGCTGAACAAGCCCTGAGCCCTATAACTATAACCCTAAACCCTAAACCTAAACCCTAAACGAATCTCACGGCTCGCTCCAGTCTTGGGGTCACTCTAAACCCTAACCCCTAAACCCTATAGCTCCTAAACCCCTAAACCTTGTAGACTTTTGCTTGGGGGGGTTCGCCACGAGGTGCAAGATGCACTACTCCTGTCCGAGCACCTGGACAAGCAGGAGGCAAGTCCTTGTCTGAGGGCGACGTTCTAAGTTTTGTGTTTTGTGAGATCTGGGTCATAAACCCTAAACCCTAAACCCTAAACCCTAAACCCTAAACCCTAACCCCTAAGCCCTAAACCCTAAACCCTAAACCCTAAACACTAAACCCTAAACCCTAAACCCAAGCCGAGCCTCTTGGGAGGATGGCGAGATAAGCCTCGAGGAGCTGATGACCTTGGCACCCCGGTGGAAATATGACACGCGGTTTGTTGAGGGTTTAGGGTTGGAGGGTTGAGGGTTGAGGGTTTAGGGTTTAGGGTTTAGGGTTTAGGGTTTAGGGTTTAGGGTTTAGGGTTTAGGGTTTAGGGTTTAGGGTTTTGGAGGGTTTAGGGTTTTGGAGGGTTTAGGGTTTAGGGTTTAGGATTTCTTAGTATGAGTCCCTTACCTTCTATAAGGGGTTCTGAAGTATGGGCCCTTGGGTTTTATAAGGTAATATAAGGGGTATGTAAGGGAGCCCCCTGCAAGGGCCCTCGAAGGAAAGCCTCCTCATTGGGATGTTCCCCCTTATGCTAACATTAATAGGGATTGTACTGGGGGGGGGGGGGCGTACTATAATCCCTATCAAGGACTGATAGGGGTCATCATAGGGATTCCAACAAGGATTATCATGGGGATTATAATCGGGATTCTAATCGGGGGTACTGTAATCCCAATTAAGGACTGCTAGTAAAACGGGGAAAATCCCAACCTCCTCAGGTCACCGGTCACGTCGGCGATGAGTTCGTCGACTCGCTGAAAGGTCTCTTCGCGGCGACCACGAAATAGCCATAAAACCCAAGCGCGCCAACTACGCCCAAAGCAATTCCTACGCACCCTGCGCGATCCCTGTAAAAAAAAGCTGTGAGCCGTAAGAAAGCCACATAACCCTACCAGCCTCTGCGCATCCTGGACATGCTGGCAACTGCCAGCAGCATTTCCCTTCTGGACGTGCCGATGTTTCACCAGATCCTGCTGGTCCAAAACCACCAGAGGCGGCATTGGCGCTGCAAAGCAGCGCCTTCCTTATACAACTGTGGACTCTTGGGCTTATGAGGCCCAAGGCAACGCCGGTCCTAAGTCTGCGGAAAGAGCCACTCAAAACCCTGAAGACTCTAAAGACCCTAAACTCTAAACACTAACCCCCACCCCTCCGCAATGACTCAACCATCTACGCCGGGCGCTTGAAGCTGTTTTGGGGGGCAAGTGCAGTCCCTGAGCCTCAGCTTTCGTGAGAAAAGATGCGCGACAACTTCGGTTTGGTGCGGGTGGCCTTCGGTCTTGTCAGGGTTTGGGGTGCAAGGGCTAGGGCCTTGTAGGAATTCCTTTATTTGAGGTTCGAGCTCTTTCTTGCATTTCCCCGATTCCCCTCGAATTGGGATTCCAGGCCGCATGCCCTCAAGCCCCTCGACCCCGCAACAAAATAAGCCCTCGACCCCTCAGCCCTCGAATCCCCAAACCCTAAACCCGAAACCCTAAACCCCCAACCCTAAACCCTAAACCCTAGACCCGCCAATTTTCCCAACCGGCGAGTGCCTTGGACCACATCTGGTGCCCAAACCCTAAACCCTAAACCCTAAACCCTAAACCCTAAACCCTAAACCCTAAACCCTAAACTCTTAAGCTTAAGCCTGAGTGCTCAGCTTAAGCCTTCTTACGTACAGGAGCGTACCACACCTTGACGGGAATGTAAACAAATGACCTTCTAAGTCTTACCTAGAGGTAAATGGTAATTATAGAATATAATTACAGCCATTTACAGGTAAGTGCATGTCTGTATACAAATATTCTTTAATATTTCTATAGACAGTACTGTCAGTATTAATACAAGTATTATTGTTAGCCCTAAACCCAGGTCATCAAACCCGGATCAGAAAATGGACCCTCGAGTGCTCGTGGCCAGCCAAAGGCCTTGGAGCCAAAAATTACTCGGGAACAGCGCGTTTTTTTTTGTCTGGCCTTGCTAAACCGTGGTGGAAGCCAAAAATTACTCCAAAACAGTGCGTTTCTCTTTGTGTGGCTTGTCTGAAGCTCTTTCGAAGGTCTGAAAAGCTCTTTCGAAGGTCTGAAGGAGGCTGAAAGCTTTTTCGAGATCCCAAGGAGGCTCCGTGAGGGGTACCCCAGGATTCGGGAAAAATGGCTCGATTCCTAGTTAATTTTAAATAGATTTTAAATAGCGGAAATTACCCCCTGATTTTCTAAAATTCTGGCCTTCTTGTCAGTAGCCCAGGAGAAGGTGAGCTCCCCTCTGCCTTGTCAAACCCGGATCAGAAAATAGACCCTCGAGTGCTCGTGGCCAGCCAAAGGCCTTGGAGCCAAAAATTACTCGGGAACAGCGCGTTTTTCTTTGTCTGGCCTCGCTAAATCGTGGTGGAAGCCAAAAATTATTCCAAAACAGTGCGTTTCTCTTTGCGTGGCCTCTCTGAAGCTCTTTCGAAGGTCTGAAGGAGGCTGAAAGCTTTTTTGAAGGTCCCAGGGAGGCTCCGTGGGGGGTACCCCAGGATTCGGGAAAAATGGCTCGATTCCCAATTAATTTTAAATAGATTTTATATAGCGGAAATTACCCCCTCATTTTCTAAAATTCTGGCCTTCTTGTGGGGGTAGCCCAGGAGAGGGTAAGCCACCCTAAGCCCCAGTCAAACCCGGATCAAAAAATGGACCCTCGAGTGCTCGTGGCCAGCCAAAGGCCTTGGAGCCAAAAATTACTCGGGAACAGCGCGTTTTTCCTTGTCTGGCCTTGCTAAATGGCTTCTCTGAAGCCACCCTAAGCCCCAGTCAAACCCGGATCAAAAAATGGACCCTCGAGTGCTCGTGGCCAGCCAAATGCCTGGAGCCAAAAATTACTCGGGAACAGCACGTTTTTCTTTGTCTGGCCTTGCTAAATCGTGCTTGGGGCCAAAAATTACTCCAAAACAGTGCGTTTCTTTGTGTGTGGTCTCTTTAAGTGCGTTTTTCTTTGTCTGGCCTTTCTAAATCGTGCTTGGAGCCAAAAATTACTCCAAAACAAGGCGTTTTTCTGTGTGGAGTACCCCACAGGAGGGGGTAAGCCCCCCTAAGCCACCCAAAGGCCTTAGCAAGCCGACTTTCTAGTCTTACCTAGAAGTAAATGGTAATTATGGAACATAATTACAGCCATTTACTGTGTAAGTGCATGGTCTTTTGTTTCTCACATTTTCTGTAATCTCTTTACCAGACACTATTATCAATATTAGCGACGCTTAAGAACTTAAGCGTCCTACAGATGCTTTGGGTGGCATCCTGGGGTGGGAGAAAGTAGAGCTCCATGTACATGACGGAACTCTTTTGCGCTGAAGGTTTCGGACGTCCGTCTCTCTTTCCATACACTACGCATGTTAAATCGACAAACCCTAAACCCTAAACCCTAAACCCTAAACCCTAAACCCTAAACCCTAAACCCTAAACCCTAAACCCTAAACCCTAAACCCTAAACCCTAAACCCTAAACCCTAAACCCTAAACCCTAAACCCTAAACCCTAAACCCTAAACCCTAAACCCTAAACCCTAAACCCTAACCCTAAACCCTAAACCCTAACCCCAAACCCTAACCCCAGACCCCAAACTCTAAACCCTAAACCCTAAACCTTCTCCCCAGATGCTCAGGCGGCTCTGCTGCAGGGCGCCCCCTCGGCCTGGCCTCCTGGGCTGCCCCTGGGGCTGCAACCCTAAACCCTAAACCCTAAACCCTAAACCCTAAGCCCTAAACCCTAAACCTAAACCCTAAACCCTAAACCCTGTAAACCCTAAACCCTATAAACCCTAAACCCGATAAACCCTAAACCCTAAACCCTAAACCCTATAAACCCTAAACCCTAAACCCTACAAACCCCTAAGCCCAAAAGTCCTCTAGGGACCAAATGAGCCCCATAGGTGGGATCATGTACCCTATACGCAAAACATGTCCAAGCATGAAACCGGGGGCACAGGGAAAACCACGTTTGGGAGAAAACCCTGTGCTCCACACTGCAGAAGTGCCGTCGTGTGCAGCACCCCGAAAGACTGACGTGTGATTCTCACATGGCCAACCTTGCGCAGCAGATAGCCCGAGACACCCACAGAAAGGCCACTGGTTGGCCACTGGTTGGCCGATGAGACTTGCATCCTATACTACGAAAAATCCGTATCGGGGTACATGGACCATATACCTGTTCGGGTCATTCCGTCCCCAAGGTCCTTGTAGGTGTAGACGTGGCTGTCCGCGAGAGCTTAGGGAGGGGGGGAGGGGGGGTTGCTTCCCGCTGTCTGCAGCCTCTTCAAC